AATAATAATAATAATAATAATAATAATAATAACATTTATACCCCGCCCATCTGGCTGGGCTTCCCCAGCCACTCTGGGCAGCTTCCAACGAAATATTAAAATACTTTAAACTACTTCAAAATACTTCAAAAATGCATCAAACATTAAAAGCTTCCCTAAACAGGTTGAACTCTTTCCCCCTGCACCATGAACATTTTCCCCTTCCCAAGCTACCAGCCAGGATGGAGGGGTTTTGCAGACCCAACAGGAGATGTCCCTTGCGACTCTGAAGCCTGGAGACTGCTAAATGCAGTCAGGCGTTTTTATATCTTCTCTGGGTTGCCATGAAATCTCATGATCGTTGTATGTTCAGCTAAATAAAAAAAAAATTCAAAATTCCTTCCAGTAGCTCCTCAGAGACCAACTAAATTTGTTATTGGTATGAGCTTTCGTGTGCACGCACACTTCTTCGGATGCAGAATCAGCTATGTTGTGCTGCTGATTCAGCTGGAAGTCAGGGGAAGGCTCTTACTTTGCAATCTTCCTCAGGAAAGAGTGACGGCCACCCATTTCTCTGAAAAGAGGCCTGATAAGGGGCTTCTTATCACACAGGGTGTTTAATTCTGTATTTTTAATCTCCTATAATATCATCCTTGCATGAGCTTCCCACAAATGAACATGCAAGGGGGCACATTTCTAAAATGAACCGCAGGGTCAAAAAATAAAAAAGGAAGACATGCATTTTAACAATAACATTTATAGAATAAATTAATAAATAAATTAAATTAATAGAAGAGCATGTAATCTGCGTGCATGGGTTAAAAGGCAACTGTGTGGTACTTGTTGCATGTTTTACTCGTTCTTTTTTTAGGAATGACCACTATCCAGAGAACATTTATACCAAAGGATGCCGTGCAAATAAATAATACTGAAGACAATGATATTAAACGACAACATATCAGCACATACTTTCTTCTTTGGTGATCACTCGTAGCCGAGTAAGATTGTCTCCTATGAACATGGTCTTAACAGTGAGTCCATAAGTGACTGTGGAGGCCAATTCTGGATTCACACGTCCTTCCACAGTGGGGACATAGGATGGGACTTGATCATGCTGAGGGTTTGCCAAATGTGCCCGTTTCTCCCTTTTGTCCTGAGTTCAAGTGTCTTCAAAGCCCATGACACCTTTGGGAAAGGCTGTTCTCCAACTGGAGCGCTCACAGGCCAGTGTTTCCCAGTTGTCGGTGTTTATACTACATTTTTTAAAAAATTGCCTTGAGAGAGTCTTTAAGCCTCTTTTGTTGGCCACCAGCATTACGCTTTCCATTTTTAAGTTCGGAATAGAGTAGTTGCTTTGGAAGATAATCAGACATCCACACAACATGACCAGTCCAACAAAGTTGATGTTGAAGAATCATTGCTTCAACACTGGTGATCTTTGCTTCTTCCAGTACACTGACATTACTTCACCTGTCTTCCCAAGTATATGTACAGTACCTCGGGTTACATATGCTTCAGGTTACGTACGCTTCAGGTTACAGACTCCGCTAACTCAGAAATAGTACTTCAGGTTAAGAACTTTGCTTCAGGATGAGAACAGAAATCGTGCTCCGGCGGCGCAGCGGCAGCAGGAGGCCCCATTAGCTAAAGTGGTGCTTCAGGTTAAGAACAGTTTCAGGTTAAGTACGGACCTCCGGAACGAATTAAGTACTTAACCCGAGGTACCACTGTAATTCTTTTCGGAGACACTGTTAATGGAATCTTTCGAGGAGTTGGAGATGGCGTTCATAAGTGGTCCATGTTTCACAAGCATACAGCAAAGTTGGTAGTACAATAGCTTTGTAAACAAGCATTTTGGTTTCCCTGCAAATGTATTGGTCCCAGACATCCACTGACTTACAATTCATGTAGCTCCTCACAGCCTTTAACCAGACGAGGCAAATGATGGCTGGAATAGTAAAATCTTGCAAGTCGTCCTCTTAGCTGTAGACAGGGAACAACTTACACATTTTTTTCTGGTGAGCCTTCCTAGGGCCACATGCCAATGAGAGGCAAAGATAGATGGGAAAAAATTGAGTGGGGCAACAGAGGTAAATTTGCCGTTTTGTACAGTAGGCTTGTTTCTTTTGCGCAGAACCGTCTCGATTCTCCACCCAGGCAAGCAAGGAACGTGCTCCGAGTGCAAGGACACATTCCAGCCAGGCAAAAACATTCCAGGGTGGTGCAAAGCAGGAACAGTGAGGGGCGTGGCCTGGTGAGAAGTGGGGGTGCCTGGGAAGGAGGTGTGGCCTGGTGGGAGGAGGCGTGGACAGGGCACCAGATAGGGATCTCAGGGTCCACATTTGGTTCCTGGGTCTAAGGTTCCCCAAAGACCTACAGTTTTTGGAGAAGGATCATTTCACGGTCTTGAGGCCACCGCAGGAGAAGCCCCACGCCTATGGTATTTCTGTCTCCTTCTCAACAAAGAGTCGGTGGCATAGTGGTTAGTGTCGGGCAAGGACCATGGAGTCACCAGGGTTAGAGTCCCTGCTTGGCCATAAAGCTTATGGGCCAGTCACTGCCTCTCCACCTAACCTGCCTCACTGGGTTGTTGTAAGGATCAAATGAGGAGGGGTGGACCATGTACACCAACTTGAACTCTTTGGAGAAATAGGTGGAATAGAAATGCAATAAATGAATAATAAATGAATGATTACAGTTGCAGGAGCATTTGATTGTTCTGCTTCTCATCTGGTCACCCCATAGCCCTAAAATTAATTAATTAATTAATCAATTACTTGCTGCATATATATATATATATATATATATATATATAAATTTTTATTTGGTTTTACTTCTGGCGGTTCCCTCACTGCAAGAAGCAAAGCTACAGGGAACCAGGCAGAGGGCCTTCTCGGTGGTGGCGCCCACCCTGCGGAATGCCCTCCCATCAGATGTCAAGGAAATAAACAACTATCTGACTTTTAGAAGACATCTGAAGGCAGCCCCTTTTAGGGAAGTTTTTAATGCGTGACATTTTAATGTATTTTTAATCTTGGTTGGAAGCCGCCCAGAGTAGGGCTGGGGAAACCCAGCCAGATGGGCGGGGTACAAATAATAAATTATTATTATTATTATTATTATTATTATTATACAAAATTAGGGGGGGTTCAAATACATATCCATATACAGATATTCCTCCGAATCTCAGGACCTCCCCTCACCCCCTCCCTGGAGTCCCATTTTAAACATTAGAACTGCATCTTCTTCCGTAATCTAATTAGTACATCAACCCATATTTTCCGTAGAAATTGTTACACTACAAGTGAAATCAAAATCCTGCCATTGTTTCCATCTGCTTACGGTGGTCTTTTAAGTAACATAAATTTCCCCCCATTCTTTTGTAAAGTTTTTGTCCTTTTGATTCCTGCCCTTCCCAGTCAGCTTTGCCATTTTGACATAGTCTATCAGCTTGGTTTGCCATTCTTCTCTGGTAGGGACTTTGCCTTCTTTCCATCTCTAGGCTACTAGCATCTGAGTGGCTGTTAAGGCAATAATAACAGTATGTGATGTGACTGGGGAAGTGGTGCAGTATTCCAGGTGGGACAGAATGTAGAAACACAGAGTGGTAGAGTTGGAAGATAGCCCAAAAGGTCATCAAAGTCACACCCGCTGCAAACCCTACAGGACTGCCTCTCCTGGTATGTCCTGTTATATACTGAAGTTCTCACCCTGGGCCAGCAGGGGGATACTGTAGATACTCACTCAGGTCCACATATGCAAATAAGGGATTGAAAGTGACGTTCAGTGATTGGATAGTTACAGAAAATGGTTACTGTTGCGTTGTAGTGGAGCTCTATATAAGCAGGCTGGCTGAACCCTTCAGTTCAGTTCTGTTCTGGCCTGTGAATAAACAAGAGCTGTTTGAAGAATCGCTGTGTCGTCTGATATGTTCACCCACAACTTAACATGTCCCACGGAGGACCTTACGGTCTTCAAACAAAAATATCTTGGAGGTCCCGGGCTACAGGGAGGTTAGGCTGGCCTCAGCCAGAGCCAGGGCTTTTTCGGCTGTGGCTCCGATCTGGTGGAACGCTCTGTCACAAGAGACTAGGACCCTGCGGGACTTGACATCTTTCCGCAGGGCCTGCAAGACAGAGCTGTTCCACCAGGCCTTTGGCCAAGGCGCAGTCTGACCTCATCCTTCTGTAATCCTCATAGAACTCTAGCCCAATAGTTGCCATTAATTTGATTTTGAATTGATTTTAGAATGAATTGATTTTAGAATGTATTTCATTTAATTTTCATTTTTTTTCTTTTTCTTTTTTTTCCTCTTCCCCCCTCCCCACTTCCTTTGCCATCTGTTTTAGTTCTTTATACTCCATTGTTTCATGATTATATTTAAGTTTTGCTTGTTTACAGTTAGACGCTGGATTGTTGTTCTCCTGCTATTTAGGTGGTTTTTCTTCCCTGAATGTATGTTATATGGTAGTTTTGTTTAGCTGTGGAATGTTTTGTGGTTTATTTTCTAATTTAATTAATTGGTTAGTCTAATATTATCATAGTAGGTAATATTGTAATAGTTTCATATTATTTGTATTTGTATTCATATTATTATATTATTTTATTCTGTGGTAATCCTCACAGAACTCTAGCCCAATGGTTGCCATTAATTTGATTTGAACTGATTTTATAATGAATTGATTTTAGAATGCTGGGTTACTTTTATTGTTGTTAGCCGCTCTGAGCCCGGCTTTGGCTGGGGAGGGCGGGATATAAATAAAAATTATTATTATTATTATATTTATTGATTGTGATTTTATGTAAACTGTGTTATTTTTACTGTTGTTAGCTGCTCTGAGCCCAGCTTCGGCTGGGGAGGGTGGGATATAAATAAATTATTATTATTATTATTATTATTATTATTATTATTATAGCAGGACTCATTCTGGCATTGAGCATAAAGAGCAGCCCTCCATGGAGTCGTCCTTTTCCAGCTGATCACCCAGAAGCAACCTTGTTTGTGTTCCCTCCAGTGCAGGATGGGAGCATGTGGTAGCAAGAAGACCGGCCGGAAGGAGAGGCGCAATTCCATATACAAGCAGAAGCCTCTGCCATCTCCGAGAAAGAAAAACCCTCCAGCGCCACCGCCGGTAAGAATTCGAATCCAAGACTGGGCTGTGCCTCAAAGGGCAGGAATTCTGCCTCCAGAAGAAGAAGAAGAAGAAGACCATGCCCATCTGACTGGGTTGCCCCAGCTACTCTGGGCAGCTTCCAACATACATAAAGAGATAATAAAACATTAAACATTAAAAAGAAAACTTCCCTGTACAGGGCTGCCTTCAGATGTCTTCTAAAGGTTGTATAGTTACCTATTTCCTTGGCTTCAGGAGTCACATAACTCCATACCCTCCAACATTTCCCCGATGAAATAGAAATGTCCTAAGGACAAGTGTGACATTCTCAGATCAAACCAGAAATTGGGACAGCTTCTGTAAATCCCAGTATACCTGAAGGAGTGTCTCCACCCCCCTGATTCAGCCTGGACACTGAGGTCCAGTGCTGAGGGCCTTCTGGCGGTTCCCTCACTGCGAGAAGCAAAGCTACAGGGAACCGGGCAGAGGGCCTTCTCGGTGGTGGCGCCCACCCTGTGGAACGCCTTCCCATCAGATGTCAAGGAAATAAACAACTTGGAGAAAAGAAAAGAGGGGCGAGGGGGGCAAGGGGAAACTATTGCAGTGAAGTAATGTTTGGTTTCTGTAACTTTCCAAAGGTCAAGGCAAAGAACTTCACCATTCCTGCCAACCGGTCTTCTGACAGCGGTAAGAAGATGAACCTTGGTTTTTCCTTGACGTTTTGCAAAGCTTTCTCTTGCTGTTTTCTCAACACCAGGGAGCTATTGTAGCGAGCCATTGGGATGAAGGCTTGCTTTATTTCCAGCTCTGAGCTCTCCCTAAGCCTGCAAAATAGAGCTGTGCATTTCTTTTCCAGCTGCAAACATGCAATTCAGCACTACAATTACCATTCTGCTGTTGAGATTTATGATCTGTGTGTGTGGTTTGGGAGCTGTACGGTCAGGGGAAAAACAATGCTGTCCAGGGTTGTAAAGACTGCGGAGAGAATAATTGGGTGCACTCTCCCTAAAAAGGTAAAGGGACCCCTGACCCTTAGGTCCAGTCGTGACCGACTCTGGGGTTGCGGCGCTCATCTCGCTTTATTGGCCAAGGGAGCCGGCGTACAGCTTCTGGGTCATGTGGCAGCATGACTAAGCCGCTTCTGGAGAACCAGAGCAGCACACGGAAACGCCGTTTAAATTCCCACCGGAGCGGTACCTATTTATCGACTTGCACTGGCGTGCTTTCCAACTGCTAGGTGGGCAGGAGCTGGGACTGAACAATGGGAGCTCACCCCGCTGCGGGGATTCGAACCGCCGACCTTCTGATTGGCAAGCCCTAGGCTCTGTGGTTTAACCCACAGCGCCACCCTCACTCTCCCTAACTTGGATCAAATCTACGCTTCCAGGTGCCATAAGAAAGCTGCAGAGATAGTGCAGGATAGTACATACCCCAAAAATGATCTCTTTCAGCTTCTGCCTTCTGGAAGAAGGTACAGGGTTATAAAGACTAGGACTAGCCGCCTGAGAAACAGTTTCTATTCAAATGCAATTTTGGTTTTAAACGCAGTGTAAGGTAGTCTCTATGGGAGTATATTGTATTTAATTATGGGGTATCAGAGGTTTTAGGGGGCTAACCAGGCTGGGATAGTTGGCTTGTTGGTTTCTGAATGTCTGTTGCAGATTTTCAATTTCGTCGTTCTGTATGGGACAATGACAATAAAGATTATCGTATCGTATTGTATCGTAGTGGAAATCCAGCATGCAAGTATTTACTTAGAGCAGCCGCCCCCCAGCAGAAGCTCTTGGCTTACAAAATGAGCTCCTGGCCTTTTCTTGGCACGACTCCACCGATAAATGCAAACTGGGGTATTCGCTGGACTCGGCCCTCACAAAACCATGCATTGTTCCTGAGTCTCACACGTGACCTTGCAAAGAGGGAAGGTTGCCAGTGGCTTTCTTCGAAAAGGTCAGGCCGAGTGAGATTTAAAACTCTCTGTCTCACCCTTGGCTATATTTAGAAGGTCTTTGGCTCGCGCCATGAAAGGTCTTCTCCCTTTCACAGCACGGGTGTTGGCGTATCTGCTCAAAATCTGCCTGAATGTATTCAAGCTGCTCACATTAGTGTTTAAGATGTCAAGGAGATAAAGAACTACACAGATTTTAGAAGACATCTGAAGGCAGCCCTGTATAGGGAAGTTTTTAATGTGTGATGTCAAAAAACAAAGAACTCCCTGCGTTTTTATATTTTGTCTCACTGGGGCAACCCAGCCAGATGGAAGGGGTAAAATTGTTGTTGTTGTTGTTGACAGGCCTCAAATATCTGAGAGAGCTACTCTTTCCCTACACACCTACAGAATATTTCAAGAAGCCTGTCCATTTACATAATTTAATACTTGTTTTTAAAGTTTGCTGACTTTATCTGTGCGCCATTGATGTCTAATGTTTTACAGTTTCTTATGTGCTGTAAGCCGCCCAGAGCGCCTGGGGAAACCCAACCAGATAGGCAGGGTACAAATAAACAATAACAACAACAACAACAACAATAATAATATATTTATACCCCGCCCTCTCCGTCCAGAGCTGGGCTCAGGGCAGCTAACACCAGTAAAATTACAGTAAAAACATAATGGGGGGGGGCAATTTAAAATGCAGCCTCATTTTAAAAGTAGTCCATAGATCAAAACCGTAAGGGGAGGGAAACGTAAGGGTCAGACTGAGTCCAAACCATAGGCCAGGTGGAACAGTTCTGTCTTGCAGGCCCTGCAGAAAGATGTCAAGTCCCGCAGGGCCCTAGTCTCTTGTGACAGAGCGTTCCACCAAATCGGGGCCAGTACTGAAAAGGCCCTGGCCCTACTTGAGACCAATCTAACAACCTTGCGGCTTGGGACCTCCAAAGTGTTGTCATTTGTGGACCTTAACGTCCTCCGAGCTGCATACCAAGAGAGGCGGTCCCGTAGGTACAAGTGTCCTAGGCCGTATAGGGCTTTAAAGGTCAAAACCAGCACCTTAAACTTGACCCTGTACTCCACTGGGAGCCAGTGCAGTTGGTAAAGCACTGGATGAATGTGATCCCGTGGCAAGGACCCCGGAAGGAGCCTCGCCGCGGCATTCTGCACCTGCAGGAGTTTCTGGGTCAGCTTCAAGGGCAGACTTCCTTACAGCTGCTGCTGGTATTAGACTCTCCTTTATTGGAGGTTTGCCAACAGAGGTTGGATGCCCATCTGTCGGGGGTTAATTAGTCATGATTCCTGCATTGCAGGAGGTTGGACTAGATGACCCTTGTGGTCCCCTCAATTCTATGATTGTATAGTTCCTCTCCATGAGGTTGCAATATGGCTGTTGTGCATATTAATTTAATCTTGTAATCATAATCACCATAATAAATTGCTCTGGCAGCAAGTTGTCCACTGCTGGAGCAGTAACAGGCTAAATAAGGGTTGGTTCAGGAATACTGTAACCATATAAGTGAACAGGAAGGTATTAACTAAAGGTACAGAAGCTGCATTAAACTTAAATCCAGGCTCTTCTCTACCTTTGCTGAACAAGGAGTGGGGTTGGTTGACCCTATACCATGTAGTTGATACTTCTAGCTTCTAGGTCTTGGGCACAGTTAATACTTTTGCTTTTTTTCACAATACAGATAAGCACATTGTCATAGCACAGTACCATTTCACTACGCTGAGTGACCGCGATCTGCCATTGACCGTAGGAGAGAAGTTTGAAGTCCTTTGCAGGTGAGTGATCTTTTGCATGTTTCAAACAGTTCAGTCATGCTCTGGTATGCCTTTTGCTATAAATGTACAGTCATTCCTCAGGTTACAGATGCTTCGGGTTGCGCGATTTCGGGTTGTGCACCGCGCCGAACCCAGAAGTACTGGAATGGGTTACTTCCGGGTTTTAGTGCTTGGGCATGCACAGAAGCACTAAATCGGGCTTTGCGCATGCACAGAAGCACTAAATCGTGACCCATGTCTGCGCAGATCACGCACGGATCACGTTCGCAACCCAAGTGTCCACTGTATAAAAATCAACCTGAAATATAGAGCACCCTCATGTAAAAAAATCTGGGCCCATTTGCCTATTGTGATACAGTTTTACAATCCACATGAGTATTCATATACAAACATACCTACATACATACAGGATGCCGGTGGCGCTGTGGTCCAAACCACTGAGCCTCTTGGGCTTGCCAATCGGAAGGTCGGCAGTTCGAATCCCCACGACAGGCTGAGCTCCCGTTGCTCTGTCCCAGCTTCTGCCAACCTAGCAGTTCAAAAGCATACCAGCATGAGTAGATAAATAGGTACCGCTGCAGCGGGAAAGTAAATGGCATTTCCGTGCACTCTGGTTTCCATCACGGTGTACCGTTGCGCAAGAAGCGGTTTAGTCCTGCTGGCCACATGACCTGGAAAGCTGTCTGTGGATAAACGCTGGATCCCTCGGCCTGAAGTAAGATGAGCACCACACCCCATAGTCGCCTTTGACTGGACTTAACTGTCCAGGAGTCCTTTAACTTTTTTTTTACATACATACATATAGAGAGAGATAGCGCAACAGCTCAAGACCACAATATCTCAAGGCCCGCCTCTTTCCATATGAACCTACCCAGACTCTGAGATCATCTTCTGAGGCCCTCCTTCATGTGCCTCTTCCCTGAGAGGTCTGGAGAGTGGCAACACAAGAACGGGGCCTTTTCTGCACTGGCTCCCCATTTGTGGAATGCTCTCCCCAGGGAGACTCCCCTGGTGCCTTCATTACTTATATATAGGCACCAGACAAAAATGTTTCCCTATCACCAAAGCTTGGGCTGATTAACATCCTTTGGCCTTTTTAAATGTGTTCATGGGAGAGGGGGTTATTAGAGGTTGTTTGTTTTGGTTTTGTTACGTATTTTGTGTTCCCATTTTCAATGTTTATGTTGTGAAGCCCCTCTGTGGTCATCTGCAAGGGATTCCCACACGGAGGGGTTGATGTTCCCAGCCTTCATGTCACGTCTGCAGACATCTTTGTAACACAGAGCTGGTCTGCCAACAGGCCTGGTACCTGGCGCCAGCTCCCCACAGAAACTAGTTAAGCACCCATAAGTGCTCACCTAGTCAGCCAAAACCATCACCTAGAAAAAGGGACTAGTCTGGCAAGCTTGCTCTTATATATTTTACCCACAAAATTGGGAGGCAGTCAAGGCATCATCCAGATTGATCCCCCAAATTTGTAATAATACTGTTTGTTTCTAGTCTTCTTTCTGGTGTATTGGCAAAAAAGTGCATTTATTCATAAAAATTATATTAGGAAAAATTGCTTGTGAAGCCTCACTGTGTTGTTCTTGTTGTTGTTGTTGTTGTTGTTTTTTAACTGGTGTGGAAATGTGGGGGACTCAACTGACGACTGGAAAAAGAGAGAACCAGAGAGAAACCAAAAGAGATGAGCCCATCCCTAGTAAAATCACTGCTTCTTTCAATGTGCATTGTTTATTTATACGGTGCTTTATTTTCACAGCGACGGGGACTGGTGGCTAGCAAAATCTCTTACCACGGGGCACAAAGGCTACATACCCAGCAATTTTGTGGCCCGTGTAAACAGCCTGGAAGAAGAAAAGTAAGGAGGCCTCTTTGGGTTTGGGGGCATAGAATCTGTCATCTAACATTACCCACTTGGGGGACCCCAACTGATATTTTGAGACATGTGAAGATCTGCAGTGAAAAGTTTGCTATCATCAAGGCCAGAGTTTTGCTTTGTTTTTTTAAAAAAAATGTGGCCCGATTTGGTATGTCATGGGCTTCCAATTCCTTGTTCCTCTACATATTATCTGCTTCCCTATGCAAGTTAGTCCTCTAAGGATGCATACACACGGTACATTTAAACCCCCAAGAATCCCAGGAAATGTAGCTTCTTTTGGGTGCTGGGAACTGAAGTTCAGTGATATGTAAACTACAGTTCCCATGATTCTTTGGGGAAGCCATGTGCTTTAGATGTATGGTGTGTTTACAGCCTAACTCAGTTTTTATGTACCTCTGTTGTCTTCTGACTTCCAGTCTTTCCGTTAAAAAAACAAAAACGGTGAGCCTTACGGTACCATAGATGTTAAAATCTCATGTTCTACCAATTGAGCTAAAAATGGTGATCAATTGCTCTGCCTGCAAAAAAAAAGGTAATTAGGAATTAAAACCCTACCACTAATCTCCCACCCCAGAACAGGAACTGAATCATTAAAGGCTGATTCAGGAATGCCATAGGAACAGGAAATTTCTAACTAAAGGGACAAAAGCTGGACCTTCATTTCTTAGTGGTGATTTCTGCTCTTGCTGTTGTTTAATAATGATAATAAATCTCCCTTTCTCAGGTGGTTTTTTAAAGGCCTGAGCAGAAAAGAAACCGAACGCCTCTTGCTAGCACCTGGCAATGTGATGGGGTCATTTCTGATCAGGGAAAGCGAAACTAATCCAGGTAAGAATCTGGGAATGTATTTTGCAGAATGACAACGGAAAAGTTCTCTCGCTGTTCCAGCAATATCAGAAACGCCATTAATATACTGGAGTATTTGGAAAATAAACCAGCTGCTTTGATGCTGGTGGATGCAGAAAAGGCGTTTGACAATGTCTCATGGAGTTTTATGAAAGTGCAAATAAACCTCATGGGATTCGTTCCGTTTCTGCATCTCTTGCATGTTTTGACTTTTCCTCATAGAGGAGTCGCCCCATTCCCTTGATCGTTCTGCTTGCCCTTTACTGAAACTTTTGCAGCTCCACAACATCCTTTCTGGGTTGGAGGTGACCCCAAATTCTAGCAGGCCACCCTTTGCCCATAGTGACAAATTTTGAGTTGCATTCAGTTAGCAGACAGCTGCATATTTGAACAGAACCAGATCAGAGTAGGCAGAAATCTCATGACTTTTCCCATGGCTTCTGGTGCTAGATGGTTTTTGCAATCACAGAGTTGAAAGGTAACCCAAGGGTCATCTAGTCCAACCCCCTGCAAATGCAGGAATTTCAACAGGTGACTTGTTAACATGGAACCACGTGCAACGCATTTCATATGGTTGTGTTTTTTAAAAAAAAGAAATAGAAAAAAAAAGCTTTATTAGGTCTTACAATTTTATATTCAACACAATCATCGTAAACAGAATAAAAAATTCATAAATCCAGATTTTCCCCCACCTCCCTTCCATTGACTTTCCCCAACCTCCTCTTCTGGTTCTTTAAGTATTTATTACTTCTGCTTAATTTATTTACCTTGATTTTAAAATCTTTCAACTAAATATTCTTATATTCTTATTATTTTTATACCGTATCTTCCCAAATTACATCTTACATTTTTTTATTTCCCCAATTACTGCTCCTTGACTTATACACTTTTTTCCTTAATTGTAAGTGTTTACTCAAACCCTGCTAGTGAGTCTACTTCTTTACAATATTTCTGTAAGTACATCATAAACAGTTCCCAGTCTTTTTTGAAATCTTTATTGTCCTTGTCTCTGAGTTTTCCCGTAAGCTTCACCATTTCGGCATAGTCCATAAATTTTGCTTGCCATTCTTCTTTCGTTGGTATCTTGTCGACGTTCCATTTTGGGGCTAGTAAAATCCTAGCCTCTGTTGTAGCAAACATGAATAACACACACATTTCATATGGTTAATTGGCTGGTGGCAAGCATGGGGCTCACGTGACCCTCCAGAGATTCATAGAATCATCAAATTGTAGAGTTGGCAGGGGACCTATAGGGTCATCCAGTCCAACCCCCTATAGTGCAGGGATCAAAGATGAAGAATCCCTGACAGGCGGCCCTCCAAACTCTGCTTTAAAAGCTCCACTGAAGGAGAGGCCACCACCTTCTGAAAGAGTCTGATCCATAACTTAGCATTTCTTACCATCATAAGGTTCTTCCTGTTCACAAGCTAACAAGGACTTGCTCACAAATTTATTGACAGCTGCACAAATTATTATCGCCAGGAAGCAGAAGGGGCAAGCAGAATATAAAATGGAAGGGTGGTATAAAGAGGGGTAAAGGTAAAGGGACCCCTGACCATTAGGTCCAGTCATGGCCGACTCTGGGTTTGCAGCACTCATCTCGCTTTATTGGCCGAGGGAGCCGGCGTACAGCTTCCGGGTCATGTGGCCAGCATGACTAAGCCGCTTCTGGCTAACCAGAGCAGCGCATGGAAACGCTGTTTACCTTCCCGGTGGAGTGGTACCTATTTATCTACTTGCACTTTGACGTGCTTTCAAACTGCTAGGTTGGCAGGAGCAGGGACCAAGCAACAGGAGCTCACCCTGTGGCAGGGATTCGAACCGCCGACCTTCTGATCAGCAAGTCCTAGGCTCTGTGGTTTAACCCACAGCGTCACCGGCTTCCCTGTTCACAGGCTAACAAGGACTTGCTCACAAATTTACTGACAGCTGCAAGAATTATTATCACCAGGAAGCGGAAGGGGCAAGCAGAATATAAAATGGAAGGATGCTATAAAGAGGGGTGGGATATAGCTATTAATGGTAAATTAATCAATGTGCCATTAAGGTAAGACAGGGAGTGTGCAGGAGAAATGATTTTTGAGGAGATATGCGAGAGCGTTTGTAGAGGTTGTACTGTTAAAACGGAAAAGGGGTCAAACCAATTTTGGGAGGTTGGATTATTACAATGGAATCGTCTCAGTTGTGGAGTGCACATGTTTATTCTTATTTATTTATTTATTTATTTATGATTATTGCTTTAATTAAAAATAAATAAAATGGATGGGGGGGTTCTTCCTAATATTTAGTTGGAATTTCCTTTCTTAATCAATTTGAATCCATTGGTTTGGGTCCTGCCCACTGGAGCAGTAGGAAACAAGCAGTTCCTGGACTACAGCTCTTATTGTCCCCACATTGGCTGGGGCTGGTGCGAGTTCGAATCCAGGACCGCCAGAAAAATGCATTGCGAAACGATGTTCCTGCCGACAAAAATGTTTAGAAACACATTCCTGCAACAACAGATAATACCTATTTTTGTGTCTCCTTTTCCAGGTGCCTTTTCCCTTTCCATCAGGGACTACACATCTCAAGGGGATGTCATCAAACATTATCAAATCCGATCTCTGGACCATGGGGGATATTACATCTGCCCAAGGACCACATTCCCTACGCTGCAGGACCTTGTCAAACATTATTCTTGTAAGTTGGCCTTAATTTGGGATAGGAGAGGAATTTGATTTGGTTCACAGAGAAAGTCAAGTGTACCTAATTCGCAGTTTCGGAATCAAAACATACCCATCCTTTGAAATTCGTACACATGCAAATTTTGTAACGCAGTTCTCCAACCAAGTGTGCCTTTGAAAAATGAATATATTCATGAAAACAGCACGCAAACATGGGGAAATGTGTACATTGGTCAAAACTGCATACAAACATGTCTTTATTAGGAGAAACCTGAACTAGAGTGCTGATGAATTTTAATAAGGATTTTTTTAAAAAAAGATCTGCAAAGTGCTGCAGGAACGTTGAGAACTGAAGATCTGACCACTAAAGGAGGACAAATTTCAAACAAATTGGCATACTATATGCAGAGTAATAAGACTATATCATATTCCCTATTTGTCTTTTCATTTCCCCCGCCCCTTATGTTCTCTCCCTCCCTCATCTTTCACCTTTCTCTTTCTTCCTCTCTCTACTTTTTCTTTTTCTCGTTTTGTATCAAAACTGAACTGTGGACAAACATTTTGAACTAAGGCCATTTCCAGACAACACTCTCTATTGAGCATCCTTCTTGATTTGTTTTCCTGGGGAGTTTAGGCGACTTTGCATCAACTCAAAAATCAACGCACACTGTTCACCGACGCATTTTTCACCATTAAAGTTCCTTATCCCAAAAAGTCTGATGTTTTGAGGAAGCAAGTCTGTTGTACCAGAGCAGCAAACCATCTTTCCCTGTTCTTCCTAAATTTAGAGGGATCTCACTGAATCACACCCGAAAATAGCAGGTGTTCTAAGTGAGGGAAGTGGGGCAAAACACTGTAATATCTGGAGATGGGAAGACAGGGAGGGAAGCGGGGAGTTTGTACTCAGTACCTGTTGCAAAAAAATAAAACTGAAAGAAACTATGTAGGAGGAGGAAGAGGGTTACTACGACCATTTTCTGCCCTGACCTGATCTCAGACCTTTTCCTTCTGCTTCCGGTGCCCCTGCACAGCTTACGAAGATGGCTTGTGTCAGCTGCTACGACAGCCGTGCATCTCTCTGGTTCCACAAAGGCCGTGGACCACCGATGAATGGGAGATTCCTCGAGAAACGCTGAAACTTGTCAAGAAGCTGGGAGCAGGCCAGTTTGGAGAGGTTTGGATGGGTAAGCTGAGACTCATATAACACCAGTCCTGAAAGACTTACTGTATTTTTCGCTCCATAAGTCTCACTTGTTCCCTTCTAAAAAGTAAGGGGAAATGTGTGTGTGTCTTATGGAGCGAATGCAGGTGGGAGGCTCTGCTCAGCGCTCCCTTTAAAGAGCTGCGTGGAGCTCCCTCCTCGGGGAAAAGCCCCCAAGAGCCGCACACATGCTCCATGCAGCTCTTTAAAGGGAGCGCGGCTCTTGGGGGCTTTTCCGGGAGGTGAGGGAAGGGACTGATGGGCTACCCTCTGTCCCTTCCCACACCTCCCGGAAAAGCCAGCAAGAGCCGCTGCCAAGCTCTGCTCAGTGCTCCCTTGTAAGGGCTCCCTTTTGTCCCTCATCCCGCTTTGCTGGGAAGCCAGCAGAAGAGGCGCTGTGCAGCTATCGCTCTTGCTCTGCTGGCTTCTCAGCGAAGCGGGAAGAGAGGTGAAAGGGTTTAAAGCAAGAAAAGCAAGAGCCGCTTACATGCTCTGCGCAGAATATTTTTTTTCCTTGCTTTGCCCCTCTAAGAACTAGGTGCGTCTTATGGTCAGGTGTGACTTATGGAACGAAAAATACGGTACATTGGCTCCCAGTACATTTCCGAGCACAATTCAAAGTGTTTGTGCTGACCTTGAAAGTCCTAAACGGCCTCGGTCCAGTATACCTAAAGGAGCATCTCCACCCCCATCGTTCTGCCTGGACACTGAGGTCCAGCTTTGAGGGCCTTCTGGCGGTTCCCTCATTGCGAGAAGTGAGGTTACAGGGAACCAGGCAGAGGGCCTTCTCGGTGGTGGTGCCCACCCTGTGGAACGCCCTCCCAGCAGATGTCAAGGAGATAAAGAACTACACAACTTTTAGAAGACATCAAAAGGCAGCCCTGTTTAGGGAAGTTTTTAATTTTTGATGTTTTATCGCTTTTTTATTCTGTTGGGAGCTGCCCAGAGGGGCTGGGAAAACCCAGCCAGATGGGTGAGGTATTAATAATAATAATAATAATAATAATAATAATAATAATTAGTAGTAGTAGTAGTAGTAGTAGTGTTGCCTGGCATTGTCGTATCTGGGAAAGGTGTAAAAACGGATATGGGTTTTGGAGTTCAGCTGGAAGTATCTGAGCTTCCAAAAGGTGGCAGGGCCTTCTGTCCTTCATTCGCCCCATCTTTTCCTTCTGTAGGTTATTACAGAAGGGACGCGGGTGGCGCTGTGGGTTAAACCACAGAGCCTAGGACTTGCCGATCAGAAGGTTGGTGGTTCGAATCTCCACAACGGGGTGAGCTCCCATTGCTCGGTCCCTGCTCCTGCCCACCTAGCAGTTCAAAAGCACGCCAAAGTGCAAGTAGATAAATAGGTACCACTCCAGCGGGAAGGTAAACGGCATTTCCATGCGCTGCTCTGGTTCGCCAGAAGCGGCTTTGTCATGCTGGCCATATGACCCGGAAGCTGTACGCCGGCTCCCTCAGCCAATAAAGCGAGAAGAGCGCTGCAACCCCAGAGTCGGTCACGACTGAACCTAATGGTCAGGGGTCCCTTTACCTTTACAGGTTATTACAAGAATAATGTGAAGGTGGCAGTGAAGACCCTGAAAGAAGGCAGCATGGCTCCAGATGCCTTCTTGGCTGAAGCCAACTTGATGAAGAGGCTTCAGCATAGCAAGCTAGTCCGTCTGCACGCCGTGGTCACCCAGCAGCCGATATACATCGTAACAGAATACATGGCCAACGGTAACCGACTCCCTTGGGATCTCAGCCAATTGTTTTGATCCACACTGGAATGCAGAATCTGGGTCTCCTTGATTTCAGTCAATACCTTCTTGCCAATATAGGAAAATTAAAGCACCCAAATCACAGCATTTCGAACATAATGCCAAGTTAAAAATGCATTGTACTTATATACAATCTAAGGCAGAGCTTTCCAAACTTTTCATGTTGGTCACACACTTTTTAGACACACATCGTTTTGTGACACGGTAATTCAGTTGCACAGTCGTATCTTGGTTGGCAAACGCCTTGGTACTCAGACGTTTTAACTCCTGAAAGCCATAAACCCGGAAGTGAGTGTTCTGGTTTGCAAACGTTTTTTGGAACCCGAACATCCAACGGGGCTTACGGGGCTTCTGATTGGCTGCAGGAGCTTCCTGCAGCCAATCGGAAGCCGTGCTTTGGTTTCCAAACATTTACATGATGGAGCACTTACATGACACACCTACACATTGCAGCCAACACACTAACATGTTGAGACATACAGTTTAAAAAGCTCTTATCTAAGGATAGGGACAAACCAAGATGCAATTACCGTATTTTTTGCACCATAACACTCACTTTTTTCCTCCTAGAAAGTAAGGGGAAATGTCTGTGCGTGTTATGGAGCGAATGCCTGCGGGTGGCGGGGGGGATCTGCTGCAGTCGTGAGCAGAGGATCCATGGTTCCCCTTCCCCCCTCCTCCGTGGTTACAAAGCATGGATCCACATGGATCCTCAGGATTTTTGCATTGGGCTACTCCAAACTCACTGTCAGATCACATGTCTGTGGCCACAGCATGAACCACAAAAATCATATATCCACTATTTCGTTTAGAATATTTTTTTTCTTGTTTTCCTCCTCTAAAAACTACGTGCGTGTTATGGTCTGGTGCGTGTTATAGAGCGAAAAATACGGTAATTTAAAGGTCTTTGCAGCAGAACACGGAAGACTGTTTCTCTTATGATTTTGTTCGGGTTAGCCAATAAGTAGACCAAATATCTTTCAGGTGTCCTTTGTGGGTATTTCAGTAGGATAAATAATCTATTTCATTCATCTCTATTTTATATTTTGTGTTTTTTATATTGTAATTTTATGTTGTAAACCTCCCTGAGATCTACAGGCATAGGACAGTATACTAACAACAACAACAACAACAACAACAACAACAACTAATAGAAAAAAATATGTTAAGGTCCTCAAACTAGAATTTGTTGCTTGCTTTATTACCCTAACGTACATTAGGAATATTCTCCTCTATTACTTTCTTAGAAAAGGATTTGGCATTAAAAACATGGGAGACTTTATCAAATACGATTGCACATTGAAAGGTCTTTGGGAAGTGAATAATCTTGATTTCTCCTCCTTTTCAGGCTGCTTGCTGGATTTCTTGAAATCAGAGGAAGGAAGGAAGTTGACTCTCCCCAAACTTATAGACTCCTCAGCCCAGGTGAGTGGATTGATTCGCCTTAAACCTTATAATTGAAAAAGGTCTTGATACTTCCCCAAACTTGAGAGCTACGCATTCAGGCCATCCTGAACATTGCTTTCTTTGAAGCCTGCACTTCCGAGAGGAGAATGTGTTGAGCAAAGTATCTTCTGGATTTTAGGAGAAGCAAATTTAGAAATTGTTACGGAAAAATCTAGGTGTGAGGCTGCTCAGTCACCCAGCTCGTCGGTCAGAGCCTGCGGATCCCTGCGGAATAAAGGAAGGATTCTAGCCACCAACCGGAGCAAATTGCTGTAGACCAAGGCGCTGTGGGTTAAACCACTGAGCCTAGGGCTTGCCGATCAGAAGGTCAGCGGTTCAAATCCCCGTGACGGGGTGAGCTCCCATTGCTTGGTCCCTGCTCCTGCCAACCTAGCAGTTCGAAAGCACGTCAAAGTGCAAGTAGGTAAATAGGTACCGCTCCGGCGGGAAGGTAAACAGCATTCCGTGCGCTGCTCTGGTTTGCCAGAAGCGGCTTAGTCATGCTGGCCACATGACCCGGAAGCTGTACGCCGGCTCCTTCGGCCAATAAAGCGAGATGAGCACCACAACCCCAAAGTCGTCCGCGACTGGACCTAATGGTCAGGGGTCCCCTTTAGGTTCAAAGAGGAAATTTGAACCCCAAGGATGGGGTGACAAAGACTTTTAAAACTTTCCCACCATATCCCAGAATATAGTTCGTACAGCATCATTGCTACATCATTGCTACATCACTGACATGTCACAAAAGGGGAGGGGTAGACAGGGGTTACGCTAGTTTAACCTTGGCAAATATGTCCAGACAAGTCCTTGGTACAAGATTAGCATAAGCAGACATGGCAGGGCAAGACTCAGGTATAGGATTAGCATAGGCAAAGACCTCTGAAGTCCCACCACCCAAAGTACAATAGAACTTCCTTTGCATGTCTGGACCCCTTGGCAAGTTTGGTGATGGAATTAAGCCTTCCTTGGCCAACAATCAGCTCAGCAATTGTCACCGGTGGTAACTTCCTGGAGTTCCTTTCAAGGGGAAAATAGCTTTGGAATGGAGGAAACTGGCAAAGGAGTTGATTTTATATTATTTTTAAAGCTAGGTAACTTCCCTGAGCTGTCAAGTTGAAAGGATACATTCAGGCGTAATATTTGTAACATTTAACTTTAAAGATGTGCCCCCCCCCCCCATAATTTCCATAACAGAAATGCAAACTCAGAGGTCAGAACTGCACATAAATTTAATGCCGTCATTTGGATTTCATTGGGTGGGAGGAGTTTGGAAGTATGCCCTGCAATTTTGGTGGATGGCAAGGTTTGGAGTGAGTCCTTCAGTCCTTGAATAGACAGTAAGGTGCAATGCAGTGTATCTGGCAACAGCGTCTGGTGGCAAGTATTGTCAGAACGGTGTTGTTTGCATGAGCTGACCGCTCAGGCGCAGAACGCGTAGGCGGAATCTGCAAATAGAAAGTTATCAGTGTATACGTTGTCCTGTGGTCAGTCCCTCTCTCCCTCCTTCCCCTCTGCTTGTGTGAGCTGAGAGGAAACAAGCCATCTATCTCATTAACATCAGGACAGGAAGCGACACCCATTTTCCACTGAGGCGAGCGGCATTTGAGCTGAAAGCTTGAGCATGCCGAATATTTGTGGAAAATGTATCTTCACATCCTGTTCAAAACCACAAGAAAGATGCAAGGTGGCAAAAAAAACAAAAAACCACAAAATCTCTGCGGTCTGAGAAATTGTTAGGCCCTTTGAGGCAGAACTAAACAAGAGAGGGTCTCGCCGTCTTTTGACAACCCTCTTTATATACAATTTGTTCTGCGCCGGTTAAAGGCTGGGGTTGGAGGGATTTCTCTCTTATGTGTTGCTCTGTTAAAGGCAGCCCTGTTTAGGGAAGTTTTTAATGTTTAATGCTGTATCATGTTTTTAATATTCAGTTGGGAGCCACCCAGATGGGTGGGGTATAAGTTATTATGATGATGATTATTAAATATATGCATTTCTTGCATTAAGGATGTAAGAGGAACCAAACTGTATCAGACCAAAGGTCTGGGGCAACAAATTATCATCAACAACAGCATCAGAACCCAGCTTGGGATTTTGGAGAAATGGGAGCAAAATTTGCCAGTGTTCACGTAATCATCCCATGTCTGAAATGGAAATAAGTCTGGAGAGTCCCTGGTCCATATTGGTGGGGATGAAACCCTTGATATTTCCAGATAAGGTTGTGGTAGAAATATGATTCAGTTTAAGGATGCATTTACCTCATTCGCACTTTTCAAAACATTGTGCGAAGCAAAACACAAGCGTCCTTTAAATTCACACTTCTATGAATTTTTCAGTGCAGTTCTCCAGCCAAATAATGTGCACCAAAATCCGTATATTAGGGTAAAGTGTGACCACGTTAATGGAAATAACATCAAAAATGGATTTTTTAAAAAGAAAAAAAATGCTTGCAAAAAATATACAGGTCGTTGTTGTTGTTTTTTAAAAAAGTTATTATTACCTCTGCTATTATGAATTGTTTCCTATGAAGCATCTCAAAGCAATTTCACAATGCACTGCTAATAAAGTTTCATGAGGGCTTTTAAAAGAATAAATAAATAAATGGCACATCGATGTGGAAATCTGAAACAATGAACTTATGATTGGAAAAGTGAGAAACTGAGAGAAACCAGGATAGCCAGATTCACTCATCCCTATCAGCCACAGAGGCACCCTTCTCTGTGATTTCCATGCAGTTGTATTCCATTATTTTCCTTCTCCCTTACAGGTCGCTGAAGGGATGGCGTACATTGAGAGAATGAACTCCATCCACAGGGACCTCAGGGCAGCCAACATCCTCGTCTCAGAGACCCTCTGTTGCAAAGTTGCAGATTTTGGCCTGGCTAGGATCATAGAGAATGAGTACCTCGCGAAAGAAGGTTGGTATGACGCTTAGGGCTTTGTGGTTTAGTCGTTTAGTCGTATCCAACTCTTCATGACCCCCATGGACCAGAGCACGCCAGGCACTCCTGTCTTCATGGATCACTGCCTTTACAGTATATTGTGGCGATCACACAGGGTCCCCGGACGTTTCACCGTCTATTGATCCCTGTGCCACCACTTTATTTCTCGCTGCCACCACCCAGACCTTACCTGGTATAATACTGAGTCCAGTCAGGGTTAAGTTGGAACATCAACTTCTGTTTATTTATTGCAGTTTAACAAGTGTGTGGTTTCATAAACAGCATCGGTCAACTACAATCATGGGGTGCCTACCCAGACCTATACCTTCCGCTACCTGCTCTCACTCACTAAACCACCTCTCAGATATTTACTTGTCTTCCTAGCTCCTAACTGTTCCTGACTCAGCTTATTTCTCTACACTAACTCAACCTGCCCACAGACTATATCAATTCACTCCCACTCCAACCAACCACCCAACTCCCAACGAACTTGTCCCTTCACCCCTCCCAGAGCTGGTTTTATAGTCCCTCTGACTCCACCCCCCTGGGTTCTGATTGGGTAACCTGTTTAACTATTTTACCTCCAGCACTCTCATACGTTAACGTCACATATATGTTCCAACTAAGATGGTGGGTTTCCCCCCCTCCCTTTCCATCTCATCTTTTCTCTTTCTTTTCTTTGTCATATTTATAATTTAAAACCAATAAGAACAACGAAAACACATGAATTTACCCTTTCTCGACAGGTGCCAAATTTCCTATCAAATGGACAGCACCAGAAGCAATTAACTATGGAGTTTTCACGATCAAATCCGACGTCTGGTCTTTTGGAGTTCTCCTAACTGAAATCATCACCTTTGGAAGGTGCCCCTACCCTGGTATGGTAGTTTGCATTAAAGCATCATTTGTTACTCTGAGCCAAGAATCATTTATTGATTATCCATTATCCATTATCCATTATCCATTATCCATTATCCATTATCCATTATCCATTATTGATTCGCTCCGCTGATGTTTTAGCAAGCCTTCATTCTATTTTCTTTATTAACAATTTTTATTAAATTTTCAATTTTACATTTCAAATTAAACATCTTTTATTATACCACACATTCATTGACTTCCCTCCCTCCCCTTCCAAGGTTCATTTAAATAATCCGCCATTCCTGCATGTTTCAATATATCCATCTAATTTAATTTTCCTATCTTACATCAGTTCAAAATACGTGAGTGAGTAGGTGCCATCACGAGTAAGGCCCTGCTCCTATACCATACAGTATGGACCTCGTGCTAAGATGGAAGGTCCTCTCCCACCGAACACAGTGATTGGTTATGGGGCAAGTAAGGGATGAGACAATGGGATGCGGGTGGCACTGTGGGTTAAACCACAGAGCCTAGGGCTTGCTGATCAGAAGGTTGGCGGTTCAAATCCCGCGACAGGGTGGGCTCCCGTTGCTCGGTCCCTGTTCCTGCCAACCTAGCAGTTCGAAAGCACGTCAGAGTGCAAGTAGATAAATAGGTACTGCTCCGGCGGGAAGGTAAACGGTGTTTCCTTGTGCTGCTCTGGTTCGCCAGAAGTGGCATATTAATAATAATAATAATAATAATAATAATAATAATAATAATACTCCCCCCATCTGGCTGGGTTTCCCCAGCCACTCTGGGCGGCTTCCAACAGAACACTAAAATACAATAACCTATTAAACATTAAAAGCTTCCATAGTCATGCTGGCCACATGACCCGGAAGCTGTACGCTGGCTCCCTCAGCCAATAAAGCGAGATGAGCACCACAACCCCAGAGTCATTCGCGACTGGACTTAATGGTCAGGGGTCCCTTTACCTTTAAGGGATGAGACATTTTTCAGTATCAATTCTTTCTCTCCTTTCCACAGCTATGACCAATCCCGAAGTCATCCAACATCTACAGAGGGGTTACCGGATGCCCTGTCCGGAAAACTGTCCGGCTGAACTCTATGCAGTCATGTTGAAATGCTGGAAGAACAATCCCGAAGAGAGACCCACGTTCGAATACCTCCAGTCCACCCTTGAGGACTTTTACACGGCCACGGAAGCACAGTACGAAGCTCAGCCCACTTCTTCCTGAGCAGCGATGAAGTTGCTGGAGACTTCTGTAAAAAAACAAAAACCCTTGTGGGATGCTGGCAAGAGGGGTGTGTGGACTCACTTCCAAAGCAGACTTTCCTGGACCATTGGGCATTTCTGTTCCTCCACGGCCGCCTGTGGTCCTCACCCCGTTCTCGAGGTCCCCTGCAAGACCAGGAGTTGAAATGGATTTTATTCCGGGCCAATCCTAAAGGAGAGGATTTGAGAAGAGGAGACTCAACCGCCCCTTAGATCGGACTCCATTGCCTGTCCCAAAACCGTCCTTACCGATTAAACAATAACTTAAACTAGGGTTACCAGACGTTCCCGGTTCCTGGGGACAGTCCCCAGATTTGCAAATCTGTCCCCGGACAAATTCCGTCCCCGGAATGTCCCCAGATTTGCAAATCTGCCCCCGGGAAACGTGGCAGTGGCAGCCTCAGCAGCCCAGAGCCAGCCTGGTAGCTGGCAGTTGGCTCTGGCTGGCTTCAGGAGCTGCTCGCGGCCGTGGCGCCCGCCATTTTTCCTCTCTGGAAGTCCCCATATGATGTGTCTTGTGTGCTGTACTGGGGACGTCCGGCAGTACAGATCTCCTGCCCCCTTTCCCCTTTGTTTTGACTGATCGGGAGAGGCTCAGGGGTTGCAGGCGGGTGGCTGTTGCCCAGTTTTTTTAAAACTTGGCACATTTATGTTTCACAAGGTGCGAAAGAAGGGCCTTGCACCTGTAGTGTGGTGTAGTGGTTAAGAGCAGTGAACTCGTAATCTGGTGAACTGGGTTCGCATCTCCGCTGCTCCACATGCAGCTGCTGGGTGACCTTGGGCCAGTCACACTTCTTTGAGGTCTCTCAGCCCCACTCACCTCACAGAGTGTTTGCTGTGGGGGGGAAGGGAAAGGAGAATGTTAGCCGCTTTGAGACTCCTTCGGGTAGTGATAAAGCAGGATATCAAATCCAAAGTCGTCGTCTTCTTCTATATGATATGCATGTGTGCTTGGGCCCAGGGTCTTTTGCCTCACCATCCCCACTACTGACTCCCTGTTGCTATTCAGCTTCAAAAAAAGAAATGAAAAGAAAGTGTCCCCAGATTCATTGAAAGAAATCTGGTAACCATAACTTAAACTGCCAAGGCTGGATCTATAATCAGGCATAAGGAAAGGGCACATGAGGGCAAAGCAGGATCTCACCTCCGCTGGTCAAATCCTTGATTCCATGTGCCTGCAGGCTCCTCCTTCCTAATTGTTGTTGTTGTTGTTTAGTCGTTTAGTCATGTCCAACTCTTCGTGACCCCATGGACCAGAGCACGCCAGGCACTCCTGTCTTCCACTGCCTCCCGCAGTTTGGTCAAACTCAGAGAAGGCTGTTACTCCTGGGCCTTGACTGTGGACTTCCCATAGCCATCTAGTTGGCAACTGTGGGCTGCAGAATCCTGGATCAATTGGGGATTTGGGACTCCTCTCCTCATGTTTTTTAGAAGCACTCTGTCCTTGGGTGGATTTCAAAGGAACAGCTGCATCCACAACATACATTTTGTTGTTGTTTAGTTGTTCAGTTGTGTCTGACTCTTCGTGGCCCCATGGGCCAGAGCACGCCAGGCACTCCTGTCTTCCACTGCCTCCCGCAGTTTGGTCAGACTCATGCTGGTAGCTTCGAGAACACTGTCCCACCATCTCGTCCTCTGTCGTCCCCTTCTCCTTGTGCTCTCCATCTTTCCCAACATCAGAGTCTTTTCCAGGAAGTCTTCTCTTCTCATGAGGTGGCCAAAGTCTTGGAGCCTCAGCTTCAGGATCTGTCCTTCCAGTGAGCACTCAGGGCTGATTTCCTTCAGAATGGAGAGGTTTGATCTTCTTGCAGTCCATGGGACTCTCAAGAGTCTCCTCCAGCACCATAATTCAAAAGCATCAATTCTTCGGCGATCAGCCTTCTTTATAGTCCAGCTCACACTTCCATACATCTGTCCACAAGGAAAGGCATTCTAAGGTGCTAATCTTGCAGGTGCCCACTAGGTGTCTCTCTCACCTCACATACCTTAGAGAGGACTCTTGTGGGGGCGCGTTACAAATGAGGGCTTTTAAGGAAGTATTCAGATATTCCTTTTCTGCAGCAGTGAGAGCAATAGCAGCTCCTTCTCCCAAAGGTTATATACAAATTCCCCTGCCCCCGAAAGGTCTGTTAACATCCTTTATAATCCCATCTTTCCAGTTAATGACCTAGAAGAGGAACTGTGCCTCTGGCAGAAATGGTGGTTTGGTGGGCACAGTAAAGAATTGTGCTGGGTTCTGAAGATGGCCCACTGGCCCCTTCTTATGTTGTGGTGTTCCTATTGAGAAGGATTAAGGTTGAATCCCGACAAGACAGAAGTACTATTTTGGGGGGACAGGGGGCGGGCAGGTGTGGAGGACTCCCTGGTCCTGAATGGGGTAACTGTGCCCATGAAGGACCAGGTGCGCAGCCTGGGAGTCATTTTGGACTCACAGCTGTCCATGGAGGTGCGGGTCAGTTCTGTGTCCAGGGCAGCCAGCTCCATCTGGTACACAGACTGAGACCCTACCTGCCTGCAGACTGTCTCACCAGAGTGGTACATGCCATGGGCATAGCCAAGGGAAGCCAGGGAGGGGCAGCTGCTCCCCAGCCCCAGATCAAGTAAAACAATAGAAATACTCAGTGCTTTTTTTCTTTAAAAAAATGTTTAGGTGTACTCTCATTTTGACTCAAAACCCCCCCACCATTTTATAGTTCAAAACAGGGGAAATAAGTACAGCGAATGGACAAAAGTACAAAGATTCACAAAATGTTTAGGGGTATGCGTACCCCCAGAAAAAAGCACTGGGAATACTTAACTAAGTGACCAATCATATCGGTTCTGCCCCCCCAATTTCCCCCCCCCCCGGCCAAGAAATCCTGGCTACGCCCATGCTACATGACCTCGCTATCTCCCGCTTGGACTACTGCTACATGGGGCTACCTTGGAAGGTGACCCGGAAGTTACAACTAATCCAGAATGCGGCAGCTAGGCTGGTGACTGGGAGCAGCCATCAAGACCGTATAGCACTGGTCCAAAAGGAACTTGATTGGCACTCAGTATGTTTCCAAGCACAATCAAAAGTGCTGGTTGTTGTTGTTGTTGTTGTTTAGTCGTTTAGTCGTGTCTGACTCTTTGTGACCCCCTGGACCAGATCACACCAGGCACTCCTGTCTTCCACAGCCTCCCGCAGTTTGGTCAAACTCATGCTGGTTAGCTGGTAACCAGTGTCCCACCATCTCGTCCTCTGTCGTCCCCTTCTCCTTGTGCCCTCCATCGTTCCCAACATCAGGGTCTTTTCCAGCAAGTCTTCTCTTCTCATGAGGTGGCCAAACCAAAGTATTGGAGCTTCAGCTTCAGGATCTTTCCTTCCAGTGAGCACTCAGGGCTGATTTCCTTCAGAATGGATAGGTTTGATCTTCTTGCACTGACCTTTAAAGCCCTCAACAGCCTCGGCCCTACATACCTGAAGAAATGTCTCCACCCCCATTGTCCAGCTCAGACACTGAGGTCCAGCTCCGAGGGGCTTCTGGCAGATCCCTTACTGTGAGGTTACAGGGAATCAAGCAGAGGGCCTTGTCGGTAGTGGCACCTGCCCTGTGGAACGCCTTCCCATCAGATGTGAAGGAGATAAGTAACTATACAACCTTTAGAAGACATTGGAAGGCAGCCTTGTACAGGGAAGTGTTCGATGTTTGGTGTTTTATTATGTTTCTGTATACGCTGGAAGCTGCTCAAAGTCAGATGTGTGGGGTGTTATCATCATCATCATCATCATTGCCATACTATTTTTTTATACCTTCCGTGAGCGAGCAAGCGGGCGAGTGAGCAGCTCAAGGTACTATCCAGACCACAGACTTCCCAGCTCAGAGTGTACCACCTCGCATTCTCCTCCGTCAGTCCCAACACTGGCTGATCCTTTGCTATCGCTTCTCCTCGTGCCCTTCAGGTTACACGCTAGGTGGTCCTCAGGCCCACCCCAGGGCTTGCTCTCCTTCTGATAAAGCAGGGGTCAGAGGGGGTTGCCTCCAGGTCAAAGCCCAAGCATGTATCAAGCGCCCTCGGACATGACACACTTCAGGGGTAGCTGTGTCCGAGGTTAGTTACCCTCTGATCTTTAATAACCTTGCGGCAGCTTGTATAAACTGCCCTTGCCTTGATGTGACAGTGGCTTTAGCCAGTAATTTATGAGCCCTTTCTCCCTCCCTCCCTCCCTCTCGTCTCCTCTCCCTGGCATTCCAGCGGAGACTTCTAAGAGGAAATCTGAATGGCCGAATGCGATGGGGCGTAAGAGCATGAGAAGACCCCTCTGGGTCGAGTCAATGGTCCAGCATCCTGTTCTCGCAGCAGCTAGCCAGATGTTTGTGGGAAACCCGCAAGTAGAAACCAGAAACAAAAACACTCGCTCCTGGTTGCCAGGTAGTTACTGGGTGTGTGGTGATAGGAAGAGTCCTGAGCAAGGGTTGCAGGGAAGAAGAAAGATTGGGATCCGTCTGGGCAGACTGGCTGCAGGCCTGCTGGGAGAGATGCCTTGGCTGCACTGCTGTGGGGGACAAGCCCCTCTTGAAATGACCGTGCTGCAAGATCTGGACTCACTCTGTGCAGACTGAAGGTGTAAATAGGTGAATAAACCCTATTTCTTAAAGGTACAATGGCCTCCGCCGTGTCCCAATTCTCCAAAGGACCACAGCAGAGAGAGCGGGATGCACCCAACTTTTGCAGCACCATCTATGTTCTTATAGGGAACTCCCTGCCACAGGAAACAGGGATGGCCACTGAAATATACTCGGAGTCGAGTGTGGATTTCATGCTCTTCATTCAGCTCATAGTAGTGAGGAGGAATGGAAGTTCCCCCAGAATGTCTGCTTTATATACATTATTTACACAATGGGATTCTCCTGTAGGCCAATCAGGTTGCGGATTCACTTCCACCTGGAGCTGGATTGGGTGGCTCCTGCGGACCAATCAGACTGCTGCATTCTGGATCCTATTGTTCTAGGACCAATCAGACTGCTGCATTCTGGATCCTATTCAACTCAGTACAGAACAGCCACCAACTTGGATGAAAGCAGAATGGGCGAATTCGTGGAGGACAATGCTAGCCATAATGGAGGCTCTGCTGTTCCTCCACAGTTGAAGGCAACGATGCTTCTGAAGACCAGTTGCACAGGAAAGCTCAGGAAGGGAGAGGGCTCCATGTTCGAATCCTGCTTGCTGGTCTCACACAGCCATCTGGTTGGCCACCGTGAGAACAGGATGATGGGCTAGATGCTTGGCCTGAGCCATCAGACTCTTCTGATTTTCCTATGCCATGAGCTTGATGAACCATCAGCATAAGGCAGCTTTCTTGTGTTTCTGATGAATTTGTTTCTCAAGCAGCAATGCTACTTGAAGTCAATAGGTGCGGATGTGAGCAGATCCACTTTGCCCACGCCTGGCTGCCAGGCTCTTCCTGTGGAGTTTGGGGGGAGGGAGACGTTATTTACAACCTGGCCAAATCCCAAAGGCTGTTCTGCCTGCCTCTCCCTTGCAGCAGGAAGGTGAAGGCCATGGGACCTGGCCATCTGCAGGCAGCTCCCACCCTCCCCTCCGGCTCTCGGACAACTCCTGCGCATCTCTGAGAAGCAAACAAGCTGACCGCATCCAAATCATGAAAGGGAGGGAGGGAGGTTCTCTGGAGCTCAAGGTAACGGCTGAGGAACAGCTGCGCTCCGTTCCCATGTTGGCTCTCCTCTCCTGGAGGGAATGTCCTGTACCCGGGAGGACAGGAACGTGGAGGCAGGGAGGGATCAGGCCTGCGTCAGTCAGCGCCAGTCCTTGACAACCCTTCCTGCCCGTGCCCAAGGAGCGAGGAGGGCCTGGCGGCGCATGCGATGAAATGTGCACAACTGCTCTGAACAGCTGGACTAAAGCTCTTTTGCAGAGAGTTATGTCATGCCAGGACGCAGGTGGCACTGTGGGTTAAACCACAGAGCCTAGGACTTGCCGATCCGAAGGTCGGCGATTCAAATCCCCGTGACAGGGTGAGCTCCCGTTGCTCGGTCCCTGCTCCTGCCAACCTAGCAGTTCGAAAGCACGTCAAAGTGCAAGTAGATAAATAGGTACTGCTCCGGCGGGAAGGTAAATGGCGTTTCCATGCGCTGCTCTGGTTCGCCAGAAGCGGCTTAGTCATGCTGGCCACATGACCCAGAAGCTGTACGCCGGCTCCCTCGGCCAATAAAGCGAGATGAGCGCCGCAACCCCAGTCAGCCACGACTGGACCTAATGGTCAGGGGTCCCTTTACCTTTACCTAAAGGTAGCTTACATTGTCAGTTGTATGGGACAAACCCACTGCCTGAAACTGTCCATAAAAGCACATTCTGAAATGGTGGGATTTAAAAGAGCCGATCAGCATTTGCTAAAATTCCAGGGCGTATAAAAACAATTGGGTTAAAAATAAAAAATGAGGGCAAACGTGCAAAACTGCAGGAGGTGGTGAATAGGAAGGGGAATTACGGAAGAGTATCAAAGCAGTTTTATATTGCAAACATTTTAAAAAGTCGGGGGGTGGGTCATGGAGCCAGGATGGAGAAATATGGCAGTGACCATCTTCATAGATTAGCTTCTAATTTTAATTCAGGAAACAGCAACAGCAATGACTCTGCTTTGGTATCAGAAGTTTGGGAAATGCCGAGAGAGAGAAATGCAGACTCCCCGGCCGGACAAAAACAAAAGTTTCGTTGGAAGCGGGAGAATTTTGCTGGCCCTGAGCTTCCTCTGATTGAGTTAAGTTCTTAAGGATTTCCCCTCAGAAGCCACTCCTGTGGCAAATTAATCTCCTTATTACCACATCCTGTCAAGTGGGCAGCCATTTGTCTCTGGCGGGGGTGACAGAGGCGGGTTCCGATTTGTCTCGCTCGGCGGTAGGCGCAACACTTCGCAGGGAGGAGTGAAACCCGAATCAAAACCAGCCGTCTGTGGTCCTCCTGTGCGATGGGACCTGTCAACAGAGGTGACGGATTTGCCGTAAATCCCAAATCTTCAAGTGCCGTGGGCCACCGTTGTGGTTGAGGTTGGCCTACGTCGCAATCTGCACGCTTCGAAACCTGCATTGCACCTGTATTCATGTGCACATAAACAAGAAAACATAGCTGACCAGGCAAAGGGCTTTGCCTATACGTTTCGCAATAGGAAATACGTTGGTGTTCTTTCCCCCACATGGAAACTGAGGGGCTGAAGTAAAGACAGATTAATAGCCTGGCTAAGGACATATTCTGAGGTGGGTCTGAGGCGAGAATCAAACTACAGTGGTACCTCAGGTTACAGACGCTTCAGGTTACAGACACTTCAGGTTACAGACTCCGCTAACCCAGAAATAGTACCTCAGGTTAATAATAATTATTATAATAATAATTTATTATTTATACCGCACCCATCTGGCTGGGTTTCCCCAGCCACTCTGGGTGGCTTCCAACAAAACACTAAAATACAATAACCTATTAAACATTAAAAGCTTCCCTAAACAAGGCTGCCTTCAGAACTTAAGAACTTTGCTTCAGGATGAGAACAGAAATTGCGCAGCGGCGGCACAGAGGGAGCTGGAGGCCCCATTAGCTAAAGTGGTGCTTCAGGTTAAGAACACTTTCAGGTTAAGAACGGACCTCTGGAACGAATTAAGTTCTTAACCTGAGGTACCACTGTACAAACTTCCCAGTGCACATTCATGCTGACGACACCGACTCTGAAATAATATTGTATGAGAACGAAAATGTGTGGCCAGACAGATAGAGACCTAAGATATATCCATTTCCAACTCATCGAACTCCCTTACCTCTCAGCCATCTCAAAACAGAGTTTGAATCATGTACCCAGGTTCAAAATGTTCCTTAGTCCTTAGTTCCTTAGTCTGGCACCTTTCTATATCTGCATGGATGCCACACTTTCTGAGTGCTCAAATCATTTCATGTATATTATCTGACCCATCAGCCCTGCAAACTAGGCCGGTGAGGCATTGGTTATGACATAATCATAGCATCGTAGAATTGTAGAAGGGACCCTGAGGATCATCTAGTCCAACCCCTGCCATGCAGAAATATGCAGCTGCCCCAGATGAGGTTCGAACCTGTGGCCTTGGCATGATCAGCACCATGCTCTAACCAACTGAGCTATCAAATAATGCCACGATTGGCAGGTGGGTTGTCCTGGCCCACAGGGGTGAAGACAGATAAGGACCTGGCCCATTGGACCCAAAAGGTCCCCCACTCATCTCAGCTAACTATACTTTTTTTTTATTCTTGTATTTAATATTGTTTTCATAAATGGCAGTGGACGTGTGCGTGTGTTTGTGAACACCAGGCATTGATGTCTTTATGATTTAGCAAAGTTTGAGATGTGTTTGCCTATAGAAAGACATGCTTATTGTGGTTCAGAAGCTGGTCCGTGGAAGGGTAGAGAGCTCCCGGAATAAACAAGTTGAGAAATACGACGTCAAAAAATGCAGAAGAGGTGCCAAAAGAAAGATGAAGAGCATTGCGGCGATTTTCACAAAACAAACCGACAGTGTTTGGTTTGGGTTGTCCTAAGAAGATTGAAGACATCACCACCCCTTGTGCACACTCAGAACCTCTCTGGCTGCGCATCATTCCTCAACAGCTTCTCCTTTTTTTATTTTTAGCTCAAACATCAAGAACTAAACACTGCAGCCCATGACCCTGTGGAACGCAAGGCTCAGCAAACCAAGAATGCAAAGTTGGATCTATGCAATGTGGACTCAGAGCTGGGACACATGACCGAAAGAATGGAGCTGAAACATATGATCAGAGGAATCGCATGGTGTTGCTTGTGCAGGGTCGCACCACTTCAGAGCAGGGATTGTGGGAGGCGGCGCGTGTCTCACATTTGAATCCTCCGTCGTATTCAAACAACAATGGAAAAATAAAGACACCCCTGCTTGTACAAATCTATAATTTTGAGAGAGAAAGGCAGGTTTAAACATATCTCTAGTGGGGAATGGGGAGGGGACTGCATGGGTCTCGCAATCCATGATGTCACCGACATTGTCCAGTACGTTCCCGTGGCATTATTTGTGACTACAATTGACACATCACCGTGGATTGCAATCAAATTGCAACACCTTGACCTCAAGGAGCTACCACTTTACTGAAGCTAAGCAGGTCTCCTCAGATGTTGAATGGAAGGTCATCTGGAAACACCAGCTGCCAGCAAGTCTCCAGGTTTCAGGCAGTGGGTAGGGACATTCCCAGCTCCCCCCCCCCCCGCACACATTGGGGGGTGAACCCTTCTGCAAGCAAGGCAGATGATCTACCAATGAACTAAGGTGCTGGTTTTGACCTTTAAAGCCCTATGCGGCCTAGGACCCAGGTACCTCCTGGACCGCCTCTCCTGGTATGCTCCGTGGAGGACCTTAAGGTCCACAAATGACAACACTTCGGAGGTCCCAGGTCGCAAGGTGGTTAGGTTGGTCTCAACTAGGGCCAGGGCCTTTTCAGTACTGGCCCCGACTTGGTGGAACGCTCTGTTACAAGAGACTAGGGCTCTGCGGGACTTGACATCTTTCTGCAGGGCCTGCAAGACAGAGCTGTTCCACCTGGCCTTTGGTTTGGACTCAGTCTGACCCTTCTGTTTCCCTCCCCTTATGGTTTTGATCTATGGGCTACTATTAAAAAGAGGCTGCATTTTAAATTGTATTTTAACCTGTATTTTAAATTGGTTTCCCATTAAATTTTTATTGTAATTTTACTGGTGTTAGTCACCCTGAGCCCAGCTCTGGCTGGGGAGGGCAGGGTATAAATAAAATTTATTATTATTATTATGGCCCATCAAAGCCATTTCCCCCTTTTTTAATATGTCCTGAAAGCACCACCAATCATAAAAAAAACAGGGTCTAGCTACATCAGACCAAAGGCTCGAGTCTAGCATCCAACATGGAAGAGGGAGCAAGCTTGTTTTCTGATGCCCCAAAGGGTAGGATCTGGCCTGATGGATTCAAATTACAAGAAAGGAAAGTCCAACTAACCATTGGGAAGAACTTTCCAATTGTCAGAGCTGTTTGACAGTGGAACCGATTCCCTCGGAAGGTGGCGGACTCTCCTTCCTCAGGAGATATTTTTTAGCAGAGTTGGGTGGCCATCCGTCAGAGATTCTTTATTTGTGATTCCTGCATTTCAGGTGGTTGGACTACATAACCCTCAAGGTTCCTTCCAACTCAACAGTTATGTGATTATATGATCCTGTTTTCCCAGTGACCGGTAAGCTGCCTGTAGGACACTTCCAGTTAGTGCAATTGCTTATGAAATTCCCAGCAACCTAAGAGAGAGGGGGAAGGACAGAGACTTACCGGTATCTGATCCCTACATACAATTGGCCATTGTTCCGACCCAACAAGATGGTGCTTTTTTTTTTCATGATTAAGGTACTTCTAAAGGTAAAGGTAAAGGGACCCCTGACCATTAGGTCCAGTCATGGCTGACTCTGGGGTTATGGCGGCGCTCATCTCACTTTATTGGCCGAGGGAGCCGGTGTACAGCTTCCGGGTCATGTGGCCAGCATGACTAAGCCGCTTCTGGCAAACCAGAGCAGTGCATGGAAATGCCATTTACCTTCCTGCTGGAGTGGTACCTATTTATCTACTTGCGCTTTTACGTGCTTTCAAACTGCTAGGTGGGCAGGAGCAGGGACCGAGCAACGGGAGCTCACCCCGTCACGGGGATTCGAACCGCTGACCTTCTGATCGGCAAGTCCTAGGCTCTGTGATTTAACCCACAGCGCCACCCGCGTCCCAAGGTACTTCTACACTATCCTTATTTTGAGGAGGGATTGAAACACATACCAAAAAATTCAGGTTGTGCAATTATAGCTAGTTTAGAAAACTCACACACCAAACCCTCTTCCCCCAAAATCGGACCTCTGTCTCTTTTTTTTGCAATAAGGAATGTGATCAGCCAATGTGCTGGAATGAGATGGGATCATCCAACCTCCCCCAAAACAAATCGGAAGGAATGTTCCATAAATAGCCCACATCGTTTAAACTCCTTGCAGCAAATCGGGATGAGTGCTCAATAAACAGGTCTTCTGGGAGAGCCCCGAATCTTGAGAAGAAGGAACATCAGAAGGCCAAAGATGTCCTCTAGAAGTTTTCCTTTTAATATATATATATACAATAATCTTTATTGTCATTGTCACATACAGAACAACGAGATTGAAAAATCTACATAAGACATTCAAAAACCAACAAGCCTGCTATCCCAGCAATCCCAGCCTGGTCAGCCCCTAAAAACTCTGATACCCCATTTTTAAATACAATATACGCCCATAGAGACTCCTTACACTGCGTTTAAAAGCAAAATCGCATTTGGATAGAAACTGTTTCTCAGGTGGCTAGTCCTAGTCTTTGTAACCCTGTACCTTCTTCCAAAAGGCAGAAGCTGAAAGAGATCATTTCCGGGGTGCGCGCTATCCTGCGCTATCTCTGCAGCTTTCTTATGGCACCTGGAAGCATAGATTTGATCCAAGGTGGGAAGAGTACACCCAGTTATTCTCACTGCAGTCTTTACAACCCTGGACAGCATTGTTTTTTTCCAGGATTCTCTGTGCAAATCTTCCTTCTCCCCTCTCCCTACTGCCACTTCCCCTCACCCACCCACCCACCCAATCCTTCCTTGACAATAACCATGCCTCCCCGCGGTGTCAATCAAAGCAGACTTGGGCTGTGTCAGCCACAGTTCTCTGTAATCTCTCGGGAGCTACAGTGGTGCCAGAAGTGACAAAACTCCTTATCCACATCTCTGGGATATAAACAATATTGCAGCGTAATGACAGGAGCCGCATTAGTGAGCAATACCCTCTAACCACTTTGGCTGGGACAAAGCGAAGGGGAAACCTCCTTTATTAATACCTGAGGGGTGGCAGGCCCTGATTATCTGCTGTAAGTAAGAGAGAAGACTTCTCAGCAAGAGAGAAGTCTTGCCAGGCTGGGCTGGTTTCTTGGGGTGGTTAGCTGGGAAATGATTTCCATAAGCAGTGCTTTTTTTCTGGGGGGAGACGCAGGGGTACGCAAACTCTAAAACATTTTGTGAATCTTTGTACTTTTGTCCAATTTACTGTATTTATTTTTCTGGATTTGAAATATAAAATGGTGATTTTATTGAGTCAAAAGGAGAGTACCCATAAACAATTTTTTAGGAAAAGAGAGCACTGTCCATAAGTTTCACATTTCTAAGGCAAGATGGGATCAAAGCTTCCTCAGGGTTTAGGGTGGAAAGTCTGGAGGTTGCATCAGGTGGCTCAAAAACATCAGTTCTTAGCAGAAAGTGACAACGGCTGTCAATAGATGATAGATAGATAGATGATAGATAGATAGATGATAGATAGATAGATAGATAGATAGATATAGATATAGATATAGATATAGATAGATGATAGATGATAGATGATAGATGATAGATGATAGATAGATAGATAGATAGATAGATAGATAGATAGATAGATAGATGATAGATAGATGATAGATAGATAGATAGATGATATAGATAGATGATAGATAGATAGATGATAGATAGATGATAGATAGATGATAGATAGATAGATAGATAGATAGATAGATAGATAGATAGATAGATGATAGATAGATAGATGATAGATAGATAGATAGATGATAGATAGATAGATAGATAGATAGATAGATAGATAGATAGATAGATGATAGAGATATAGATATAGATAGATGATAGATTGATAGATGATAGATAGATAGATAGATAGATAGATAGATAGATAGATAGATAGATAGATAGATAGATATAGATTTTGTTGTTGTTGTTGTTTAGTCGTTTAGTCGTGTCCAACTCTTTGTGACTCCATGGACCAGAGCACGCCAGGAACTCCTGTCTTCCACTGCCTCCCACAGTTGGGTCAAACTCATGTTTGTAGCTTCGAGAACACTGTCCAACCATCTCGTCCTCTGTCGTCCCCTTCTCCTTGTGCCCTCCATCTTTCCCAGCATCAGGGTCTTTTCCAGGGAGTCTTCTGTTTTCATGAGGTGGCCGAAGTATTGGAGCTTCAGGATCTGTCCTTCCAGTGAGCACTCAGGGCTGATTTCCTTCAGAATGGAGAGCTTTGATCTTCTTGCAGTCCATGGGACTCTCAAGAGTCTCCTCCAGC